TGCTGGAATAGCAATTACAGTTAAGGTAAGAAAACAGCTTCTGGGGGTGCCTTGGTGCTCAGTTGGTTCAACATCCAACTTCCGCTCAGGTCATGATCTCACAGTTCATGAGTTTGAACCCCACACTGGGCTCTATGCTGACAGTTTAGAGCCTGGAGTCTGCTTCAGATTCTGTGTCTCCCTCTCCCACTGCCCTCCCTGCTCATGCTCTGTCTCTGTCTCTCAAAAATAAATAAACCTTAAAAAAAAAAAAAAAAGAAAAATAGCTTCAAAAAAAGAAAAAAAAAGAAAGAAAGAAAATAGCTTCTGGAGGACTCCCCACTTCAGGCATAGCAAATTTTATTTTACATCATACTACACTATGGATACTTGGTTCAACATTCCTCCCAATTGCTATTCCTTCCCATCATCCCTTGGCACTTGAAATGGAAGGCTCTTCTCTGCCTCACTACCTTGTTCTTAGTCCATAACAACTGGACAGCACAAAAGCAGTTACAATGAGTGACACCCTCATAGTTCTTTCCCTGAATTCCACCTCAACAACCCACTATCCAGGGGCTACTCTTTCCCCAAGTTATCAATGGAACCAGATATGATCTAAGCAACTTAAGGCCAGTATTAGGGATACAATTTAAAATGCTTAAAGGTCTATTTTCATTACATCAATCAAAGGAAAGGCTCTTACTTAACAGAAATGTGTTACCTATGTTGCCTATTTTACTGCACGCATGCAAAGCAAAATGCTGTGGCTAGTTGTAAAATATCTAATATTCCTCTTCCCAGGCTCTGAGACCTAGCGTGAAGGTATATGCTGCTGAACCCTTGAATGCAGATGACTGCTACCAGTCCAAGCTGAAAGGGGAACTGACCCCCAATCCCTATCCTCCAGAAACCATAGCAGATGGTGTCAAATCCAGCATTGGCTTAAACACCTGGCCTATTATAAGGGACCTCGTGGATGATGTCTTCACGGTCACAGAGGATGAAATTAAGGTGAGGCTCCAATAGAAAAGGAAAATACAAAACAATGGATCAACTTCTTAGGCAAAAGAATCTTCTCCTGTTTTAAGTAGAAACTGACTCCCTGGGGACTTGACTAGATGACTTCATGACATGTGGGAGGGTGCCCCAGATGTATTAGACAATCCTCTCAACAGAAGCAGAGTAAGGATGGGAAAAAAGCCCTGCCCTTCCCTGGCAAGCATATACATACGGCCAAGAAGAAAATTCAGACTGGGCATATAACCCCATCTGGCCTTTAACTGTAAAGGCCAACCAACGAGGCTCTTTCTCCTTCTCCCATGTCACTAATTCTTACTCCTTTTCATACCAACAGTATGCAACCCAGCTGGTGTGGGAGAGGATGAAACTGCTTATTGAACCTACAGCTGGTGTTGGAGTGGCCGCTGTGCTGTCTCAGCATTTTCAAACAGTTTCCCCAGAAGTGAAGAACATTTGTATTGTACTCAGTGGCGGAAATGTAGACTTAACCTCCCTAACTTGGGTGAAGCAGGCTGAAAGGCCAGCTCCTTATCAATCTGTTTCTGTTTAGTTTATGCAAAAGAGATGGGATTCAGTGTCTTGAGATACTTGGAAATTTTGTTTCTTGGTTACTTTAACTTCCTATCTTCCCCTCTTAAACAGCTTTCAAAATCCTACTGGAAAGTGGATGTTTCAGTAATAGTTTTGTTTTTTTTACTAAGTAAGTAGCAAGAGAAAAACATCCATAGTTTACTGAGACAACTTATCAGGGCCAAGAAAAGCCTTTTGCCAAAACTGGCAGCAGACCTCTAGGCTAAAGTAGAAAACAAACTTTGTCCAATTACAACCTGTAGGATCCCATCCCTAGAGTGCTAACTAGCAGCAATGAGACAGAATCCCAGTGAATCCATTACTCCATATCCACCTCAGGCACGGTTGAAGAGATCTCACTTTTCATCCATGGTACTGGTTCTGGTACATATGGATCATAAGTCCATTTGGGGAAAACTCGTTTATAGAGGTTCATCAGTACTGTGTCCTGAGATTTTAGCTTCCCATCAAAACTGCACTTCATGTGGCCATGAGTACCTAGAAAGAAAACAGAGCAAGTTGGTCAAATTAAAATAGAAAACGTTAAAGCAGTAGTCTTCTAACCCAACAGTCATTTAGTAGCACTGGAGAAACCTAGACAAGGTACCAAATCCCACATTCTCTTACCTAAAGGCTCCTTGATGTGTCCCCTGCGGCCCCACTTTGTTCTCAGTTCCACTGGTTTAAACCACAACACATCCTCTTAGAAAGAAACAAAGAGAAGACCAAGATGAAACATGTACCCACAAAGGGTAAACTCAACCCTCACCCCACAAAGGCAATCTGATCCCATCCTTCACACCCACCTCTGTTGAAGAACATGTAGCGCACTACTGCCATCTTAGTAAAAATTTTGAAAGGATGACCACTCAAAACAACTCTCTTGATGACCATTCTGTCTGGATCCACTGACAACAGATGGCCTGTGGCAATGAGGCTGTGCATTCCTATGGAGCAAAAGCAGAGCAACAGGAGTCTACAAGCCAAAGCCTTCACTGATTGCCCCCGTCCACTTAAAGACCCAAACAAGATCTTTTTAGAGAAACCTTAAAGTAAGGATATATTATGCTGCCCTCCTGGGTCCATGCAAAGATCATTAAATGATATTCCCTCTACGCCTGTTGTGAGAACCTATCCTAAATACAGCAGTCTGAGCAGCACCTATCAACTGGCTATGGTTTATAAGCAAGATAAAGTTCCGTTTGTCATCCTTGTCTCAGACCCAGTCTGAGGCTGAGATTGGGGTATTTTGAAAACTATTATTACGTTCTTCATACCATATGACTCTCAAATCTAAATACAGGAAATAGTTTTAAACCTATTAAGGACCTACAGGTCTGTTCACCTCTGTGAACTTAACTTACCATTGCTATTCTGTTTAAAAAGCAGTACAGATGCAGGAGGAAACGTGATTGGGCCATATACTGTCGCTACCAAGGCCACATCAGCAGTCAGGAATCTCTGAAATTTATGTTTATCCGCTGCGATAATAAGGGTTAAAAAATAAAAAGTAAAAACATTTTGAGAACTAGTGGGGCAAAGAAACATAAGTTGCCTTAGATTTGAGTTGCAATGATACAGCTTTTCACAGGCTTCTGGATTACCTATGGCTTCTCAAAATGTTTTCCTACTTCAATACAACTGTGAGATACAACTCAGTCCTTCACAGTGATTTTTCAACAGGGAGGCAGAATCTTGGAGCTTGGACTATATTTGGGGTTTGAAAAAGTTCTCCAGGTGATTCTGACACTCATTATCCCTACCTTGTTTAGGAAGCAATGCTTTACAGAAAACACCTCCACTAAATCAAAAGCCTGTAGTCATGAGCAAGAATTGGCAAATATTTTCTATAAAGGGCAAGATAGTATTTTAGGCCTGCGGCCTTACAGTCTTTCTGTTCCAACTACTACTCAGCTATGCCACTATAGCAAAAAAGCAGCCACAGACAACCCATGAGAAAAAAAGGGGGAAAAAAGAAGGAAAAAAAACCCCAACAACCCACAACTGTGTTCCAACAAAATTTTATTTAACAAAAACAAGCAGTGGGGCAGATCTGGCCTAAGGGCCATACTTAGCTGATCTCTGATCTTGAGGACTACCTGAGCTTCTGCTTTTATCTTCAATGCAACTCTCCCTCCTGCTTAATACTGAATTTACAGAGAAATAAAATATTTTAAGGGAAAGAGAAGATAATTCCTCATTTAGATAGCATAGCTGATTAACATATGGCTAGTAAGAACAGAAATTATCCAGAGTACCCATTAATACTGCCTTCATCATCTTCCTCCAGCCACTGCTGAAAGCTGAGTGTGTGTGGTAATGTTCAGAAGCCTCCAAATATCTTCCCACTCCTAATGTATAGGAGTCCAATCATTTTTGCCATAAAAGTGTCCCTGGGTCACCACTCTTCAACATCTTATCCCAACATCTCAGAAGCCACATACTTGTTTTACCCAACTGTGGGCCACCCCTATCCTTCACCCACACTGCCACCGGCCATCAGATGCCAAGGGTTCTACACTTTGTGACACCATTTTATAGAGCCACCAACTCCCATTCAAAACCACTTTGGAACAAATACTCATGGCAGAGAAGCCTCAGCACCACACAGAGGTTGCATCACTGGGATGCTTCAGACAGGTTCAGACATCGTGAATAAAAACATCATTGGCTCCTAGACCAGAGTAGTGAAAATACCCTTAACCCAGAAACCCAGAGTTTGAAATTGTGTATTCTACACACCCGCACTAAAAATCAATAGTCCCCCCAAAAGACATTAAGATGGACAAGAACCCAGAAGCTTTCCCACTGCTTTACCTGCAGTGTGCTGAGAGAACAAAGGTGAGGCTCGGAAGCGCCTGAACCCACAGTGGAAGATCAGCTCCTCCTTAGCTTTCACAGGCTCAGTGTTGCCAGGGTGCCGGCTCACCACCATATTCAGTACTGACATCTGGGAACCACATAAGAAAAACAGACCTTCCTATCTGGAATAGAGCAGCCTAAACTGAAAGAAGACAAACTAAACTAGCAGATCCAAATTCGCTCTAATACTCATTTACAGTAAATAAGATTTACCTTTTACCTTTACCAACAACTGGCATTCAAGTTACATATAGGCTGGTTTTTGGGGCTTTCACGCAGCCTTCTGTGTTAGCTAACCTTCCCGTGTCTAACAATGCAGAAGCTCAACATCTGCCACAAATGCAGTGGCTTCAAGTCACTCAACTCACCACACACCTCAAAACTACTCATTCAAGACAGTTACCTCCCAAACTCTTCCACTGACCAAAGGCCAGAGCTCTCGCATACACGCAATACACACGAGTACTGGCCATCAAGAAAGAGACCTACGCGTGGCCCAACCACTCCTTCCCGCACCCCCCCCACCCCCCACTTAAGGCTGCCAACCCTTGGTTTAAAATCTGATCTGACAGAGAAGTCTCAGAACTCAGAGTGCATCACTGAGATGCTTCAGACAGGTTCAGACATGTTGAGTAACTCCATCATTGACTTCACCATCATATTCTCTGATTCTTCATCCAAAGGCAGATTGTTTACATCCCAATGAGTAAAATGTCGGTCACATAAAATTTCAGACTATCATACAAAACTGGTTGGAAAGTTTCTTAAGTCCCCATTTCCCACAAAATACTAACTCACCTTCTGTTCATGAGGTAGTAAAGAAAATACAATCAAGGGTGCCCCTCGCTTAAAGTATTCAATCACTGAGATAGGGACTTCAGAGACATGAAGTGTGACATACCAGCCAACCTGCCAAAAAGAAAGTAGAAAATAATCATTTACCCTTAAGGTCTCGACAATGATGAAGCATTTCTCCAAATATGTTAGAAGTCTCTTAAACTACCCTAAAGCCCATCCTCACCCTTTAAAACTGCCTTTCACAGATGCCTCAACTACACAGATTAAACTTTTCAGTTAACATCTGATACCTCTTTGTTCTCAATATCACTCTCACCAGTGACTCAGTGGCTCCTCTAATTCAGCTATGGGCAGCACAAAACTAAGTAAGGTACTCATTCCAAGAGGAGGAATAAAGGAGAGGGCACCTTGGCAAACAGCAAATTACAGGGATGGACAAAGTAAGGCAGATACCTCAGCTCCTTCGACCTCTTTTTCTTCAATTTCTTTAAAAATGCGTTTCCTAGTATTAGTAAAGTTCTGAAACTGAAAGATCCGAGCATAATCTTGAGGAAGGTTTTCCTTAGGATCCCATGGAGATGTCCGGAAGCTCTTGAGACCTCTGTATTTCTGAAATCTAGATAAAGAAGATTTTAAAAAATAGTCAAATTTATATGGTGCTACTTTTTCACTCAAGTCACTTCTAAAATGGCTAAGACTCTAACTTAAAAAAATTCTCCCACTATCTCTCAAAATAATCTAACAGCCTAAAACCACACTCCAAAACAACTCATAACAAGTACTTCAGAACCAAACCCCAGCCCCTCACTGATAAAGGACAAAGTACTTAGAGTGGCTCCTTCAGGGAGTGGCTCTTTAACCTGGCAAACAAGGTCCTTGACAAAAATATTACATCCCTAATATCCAATGTAAACCCTCTGGCTTTAATTAGACTCATCTCCAGGGAAGACATCATCTACATCTTCACGCTTTTATTCTTGCCCAAACTCCCTCAAATCTCCAAAATGTTTTATACTTTCAGTATTAGCTCCTATAGGAAGCACTTGCCGATTAACCTTAGTATTTCCCCTTCGTTAAAGTACTGTGACATTGTTAGTCTGCACCACACAGTCTGGAACTTGATTACATATTACTGTTTCTGTATGTATGTCTTACCTTCCCATATAGAATGTTAGCCCTTCAGAAACGGGGACAATGTGTTGTGTTCTTTTTTATCACACTGACACACTTCTGAGCCACATGAATTTTAAATAAAAACACTGATTTTAGACTTGCTGACTAACCGAATTCTTGCAGCCACGTCACGGGGGGTATCTACTTCATCTGGAAACATCTCTTGCAGTCTTTCTTGTTTATATTTCTCCAACATTTTTTCTTCAGCCTCTTCATCCACATTCTCATCATACAGATCATCATGCACAGACTCTCCTATAGTCATAGTTTCACATTCTTCCTCCTCTTCCTTTTCACTGCTCTCATCCTATAAAGATTACAGTTTCACACCCGTCTCTACCCTAAAGACCATTAAACTATAAGTAAATTAGTTTTACTAGACACCTAGTCAAAATCAGTATCAATTCTAATAGAGATTAAGTTATAAAAGAAAGTCTCACTTCTGGTAGCTCTAAGTCATTCCTAGGAAACTGATCACACACAACCCTCAAGGTCAGGATTGCACTTTGCCTTGCATTTGGGGCTGTACGCAGAAGTGGCCTAAGGATTCATATCTTTACCTGAGATTCCTCTTCAATAAAATCCTCATGTTCTGTATCATCATATTCATCTTCCCCACCACTTTCACCATCCTCATCCAAAATCCATTCAGCTTGGTAACTGGATGTCCCTTTGGGAACCTTCTTTACCACCTTGGAACTTTCCTTCAAGCAGTCTGTAGAAGCCCAAATGAGTTAAGTTAAATGATATACCTCTGGGAACCTGGGTGGCTCAGTCAGGTGAGCATCTGACTCTTGATTTTAGCTCAGGTCATGATCCCAGGGTTGTGAGACTGAGCCCTGCGTCGGGTTCAGCACTGAACATAGAGACTGCCTAAGTTTCTCTCTCTTTCCCTTTTCCCCTCCACCACTCTTGCGCACTCTCTTAAAAAAGTATATACATACATATACTTACATATACGCACACACGTGTATACACATACGTACACATACACACCTTTCCCCTATTACTCCCGTATTCTCACCTAGGCAAGATGATACCAGACATTGCTACCAACACCAGAAACTCTAGCAGACACTATGAGTAGAACAGACTACTTCCAAATTTAATTCAGCTGCCTCAGAACTAGCGACACTTACACAGCCCAATAAGCTTTGCAACAAATCAAAGTTGTTTATCTGTTTATGAGAAAACAACAACACAAGTAATTTTGAAAAATGGAGCAAAGCTATGTCCAATGTTTGCTTGGTGCAAACATACAGCCTTTAGAGATAGAGGGGAAAACTAACCTCCAAATACATCTCATCCCACCCTACCCTGTGCGCAGCTAGAGAAAATGCACAATTCTAGGCCATATGAAATACAAACAAGTTTGCCAATACCAACCATTTGCCTCATTCAGTTCCTCCTCTGTGGGCCAGGTTTGCTCCCCCTCCATTGGATCTGGGATAACCTCTGTTTGCAAAGATTCTTGTCTTTCAGGGTCTGCCTTCATTAGGACCTTAAGGTCTTCCTCCATATCAACCACAGCATCCATAGCACAAATCTGAAAACCAGAATAGTTGACACCAAACGTTACCCAAAATCTACTAAATCTAACATGGTAACCAAAAAGATTCAGAAATAACACAGTCCTCAAAATAAATAAATAAAATAAAATAAAAACAGAATGAAACAGTGAGCCCAACTGGTCAAATCTTTCAACCATTTCAATTTCCTAGCATTTTAGTCCATACCTCTACTTGCTTTTGAGGCCTTTCATAATCTGCTCTCACTCCTACACATTTATTACCTACCTTACTCCCATTAAGCTGATTTCTTCAAAGAAACCATCTGATCTATCCCTGGGACTAAATTCATGTTGTCTCTATCTTCTTCGACAGTTTCATCTCTCTTCATCTCATAAGTCATATTCATCCATCTCAACACCTGGCTCAAGTCTGAGCTCTTCTGTGAAGCTTGCTAGTCTACTTTCTCAACTTACACAGCAGGTCTCTATCCCTCAACCACACTTTTTCAATCTTTGATGTTTGCCATCTTTTCTGACGTAATTAGGCTGTCCAAGGAAAGAGACTGCATCTTGTGTCTTTTATACACTCAAAGCCAATTGCTATGTGAGGTACCTATAAAGTGCTGAATACAGGATATCAACATATTCAGTTGACTACTGTCTTACTTCAAACTAGCAGTCACCTCCAGAAGCTAGTATAGTTGTCTAAGAGTGCAGACTACCTCCTCTGATGTTATTCACATCCTACGCCAGTTTACACATAAATCTACAAGTCGTTTAAAAAACATTTAATGTTTACTTATTTTGAGAGAGAGAGAGGAGAGAGAGAGAGAGAACAAGTGGGGAAGGGGCAAAGATAGAGGGAGAGAGAGAAAATCCCAAGCTGGCTCTGTGCCATCAGCGTTGAGCCTGACACAGGGCTCGAGCTCACAAATCGTGAGATCGTGAGCTGAGCCGAAATCAAGAGTCAGACGCTTAAGTGACTGAGCCACCCACGCACCCCTACAACACATAGTTTTTAAGAACATCACTCTTACCTCCATTGCAGCTCCAGAGTCCTGTGATTTGACCACTCTAGGATTTAAAAGGAAAGGGTCTATAGGAGCATCTATCTGTTTCATCTGGAAATCACCCTGTCCAATGATATGCAGCAAGCTATTTACATTCAAAGTCTGTCCACGAATATAGCCTGAGATTTTCAAGGTGCCCACCAAGTTATTTTCTTCACTAGGCACAAAGTCAGCAGCATGAGCAAACATGTAGGCCCGTCGATCTCGAAAGGCAAGATGTCGTTGCTTTTGGTTAGCCAACTGCCTGAGCAGCATCTGTGCCTCCTGTTGTGTGTCTAACAGGAGAAGTTTGTCATCAGGAAAGCGCTTCTCCACTGCTTTACTTAGCTTCTTTCTGGCATCTATTTGTTTCCTTGGTGGGAGGCCAGAAATCCCCTGGACAGCTAGTGCTGTGAGCAAGAGAGAAAGGGCTTTGTTACTTACTTTACCACATGTAAATCCCCACCGTAGTTCACAAACAAGCTAACAGTTCAGTTGTGAGACCAGAGATCACTGAGAAACTGAACACTGAACTACCCTAAAAAATTTTCATAGTGAAACCAAAGTTCATACTCTTCTTCCTCTGGGCAAAGAGTAGTCCAGAAATAAAAAGCAGCTTGATAGATAATTTCTAAATGATGGACCAACTTAAGCCATACATGTACAACTCGCCACCAGCCAAATACAACCCACCAGTTGTGTTCCTGTATCAAGTGTCAGACAGAGTGCCTGGAAAATTATAGATGCATAATAAATGCTAATTCACTTCCCCCCGTTACCTCTAATACTCCTAACTCACTATAGGTAGGAAGGCCCTGGGCAAAAAGGCAGGAAAGGCAGTAATCCCCAGTGCTGTCCCAGCCTTCTAGTGGATCAAGGAGAAAAAGGATGGTATCCGCCACTTTAGCCATGTCTAACACAGCGTGCAGATCCCCTGGAGATAAAAGACAAAGTTAGTGGGAAGAGGTGTTTGGCACCAGCACATCATACTAAAAGAATATTACTACTACTCAGAATACAACAATAGAAAACACTGTTGTATGCTCCAACCTGGCCTTGCAGATGTGAAATACCACCGATGTTTCAAGCGGGGGCATAACAGCACAAAGCTATGGGTGCTTCCCCA